GGGAGAGTGAACAAGAAGGGCAGTGAAAAAGTGTGAGGAATGGATTACAGGCTTCAGGAGGGAATTAAAGGATTACAGGTGCGAGCAGGGAAGAAAGCGGAAAGGCAGGGCAGGCAGGGAAGGGCAGGGAGGAGTCTCAGCTTCAGGGGCAAGGGGTAGATCACCAGCAGGGGTCCAGGACCAAGGCCCCTGGACAGGTGGTGGTGCCTGCAGTGAACAGTGAACGGGACAGGAGAGGAGGTCCTGAGACCACGTAGGTCACTGCATGCATCCTTTCAAAAATAATGGAAAGCTAGATTTGTGCTTCTTAAAAACCATATCCTCTCCTCAGTCCTATGTGCGAAGTGCTTTTCTCCTCTGCTAGTGTAGGGGAGGGGCACCCTCTAAGCCACTTACTCCATTAGCTTCTTCGTTTTCTCGGGACCTCCTTTCCCTAAACCACCTTGGTCTTCCAGAAACCTTGAGGGGGGTTGTTGTTTATTTTTTTAGGAAAACATATTGATTGTTTGTTTAAGTCCCTGGACTATGATCAATCGAGGTGACAGTGCTCAAGGTCAGCTTTGTGCATCCCTGGCTGTAACAGGGCTCCTGTCCTGCCTGGATCAGGGAGGAGGAACGAGAGTGCCTTTGAGCCCCCACTCCTTCTCTAAGACGGTCACTCTCTGGTACCTAGAAGCCGAGGTAGAGAGAGCCAATCAGCACACATCATCTGCTGTCACCACAAATGCATAAAAGTCCTGCTGCTTTTGTTTGTTGGGGGCGCAACGTTGAACAAGTCTTAAAGTAAACAAGACATAATGCTTATAACGTCTCTGCCGGTTTCAGAACTCTGTTCCTTTGCAGGGGGGTGGCTTTGGCAATAGAAGTGTTAATGGATAATGCGGGAGGCCACCATCTGTTCTTTTGGCACGTGACAAGCGGGGGTCCTTGCTACATAAAAACAGTCTCCTTTTCAGCAGATGGATTTTGTCTGGTGCGATTCCTCCGTTCCTCCTATGCTCTGCTCCGATTGGCTTTTGGGGGGGTAATATTCAAGAAGCCAGCCAATAGGAGGGCACGCTGTGGGCAGGGAGAAAAGGCACAAGAAGAAGGGTATCCAGGCTGCCCCAGATTTTGTAAATAAGCCGAGGGTGAGAAGGAAGCCCAGGGCAGATCCTTGAGGGATCATTTCCTTTGCAGACACATCCCCTCATAAAAGTCATTGGGGTGCTTAGAACAGGATCCTTCTTTCTTGAACGCCCATGGGCATCCCCCCACCTCTGAGGTGGTGCCTACTGTTTTTACGTGCTTTACTCCCTCCTGGGACTCACCTGGGACTCATAGGGGAGAAATGCGATGTTGATTTCAGTCAGAGTCTTGATGACCTTGGCGGCTCGAGATTTGACCAGCTCGTTAAACAGGGCATCCGGACACGCTGCCAGGACGACAAAAGACAGTTGGTTTTCTCGTCGACTCTCAGGTTCGTTTTGAGGGTGTGCACAGCCCGCAGACTCTCTATTTTATCGGGGCTTTTAAAAGGCCACTGGGCTGCACAGGCAATCACACAATAGCCAGTCCTCCAAGGAGAAAACGGCGTGTAAAACCACCGGCAGGACCTCGAACACGTAACAGAAGGACAAGAGCAACAGATACGATTTAGAGACTGAGAACTAAAGAAATCCATTCTCTGATCTAAGGGAACCGCACAAAAGTACCACCAGCAGCAGAAGAGGCCGAGAAAAGACAAGGAAAGGGGCTGTAACCAAGCACATCTAGTGTGCTTTGGACAGATCAACACGTTTACAAAAATAAAATAAAACCACTGGGAAATATGATGCAGCTACTTCCCCCAGAATCTCGCACGGAGTCAACAGCCGGGAGACCCGCTTGGGGGTGGTGTCATGATTTCTGACGACTCTCCGGGGCCCCACAAATGGCTTCCGAGCACCAGAAATGTGGACTACTGTATGACTGACAAGTCTGCTACCCTGTGTCTTTGTTGCTCCTGCTCAGAGACTAGGCCAGTGTTTTATGCTTGAAATTTACATTTTCTTGATGGTGAGTTCTCTGTGTGTTTGGGGGTTTTTTGCCCCTAGAGCAAGAACATTCTAGACCTTACAAGAGGTGGTTGGTGCGCTTTGCTTTTTTTTTTTTTTAATCAGGAAGGACTACATGGCCTAGTATAGCGCTTCCTCGACCTGTGGGTCGCAACCCCTTTGGGGGTCGAACAACCCTTTCACAGGGGTCGCCCGAGTCATAGCAGTGGCAAAATGACAGTGATGAAGTAGCAACAAACATAATTTTATGGTTGGGGGGGTCACCACCACATGAGGAACTGTATGAAAGGGTCGTGGCATCAGGAAGGTTGAGAACCACTGGCCCGGTGGTTTGTATCTGTGTTTATTTTTGTCTCATATAACTGATCTTGCAAAGAAAATAGATCAGGACAATCCTATGAAAACAACCTGTCTCGTCCCTACTGATGGGACTTGGTCTGGGTTCAACCTTGCTGTGCAGGAACCTTAACTGAGAACTGCAGAGGGAACTTACAGTCAGTGAAGAAGACATGGGCAGCCCGGTACTTAGCAGTCGGTGGGTCTTTAAAGTCACTGATGAGAGAGTGGACAGACTACAGAAAGGGAGAAGAGAGAGACTGAATCCAATTCTCCAGGCAAACGGGACCCATTCCTGAACTACAGACAAGCTGTCTTCAAACTAACGCACAAAATAGCAGGGCATTTTCTATGCAAAATCCTAACGCTCATATTTGGCCATCGCTTAGTTTTGGCATCTGAACCTTAAGACTCTTTCAGCATTTAGATGAACCAAGGGCTGCTTTGTGCATTCCCGAACAATAATGCCAATTCTTTGGAGCCACGATTAGGGTTCCCAGAGAAGGGGACTTGTCAGAAATCTTCCAGGAGGTTCTCCTGATGAATTCTAGCAGCTTAGACACAGCTGCGGGAACCCACAGGTAAGCCAGCTTCCAAAGTGCAACCACTGCGGGGATTTCTACAGACGAAGAGACACCTAGACGAGCTAGCAAGCAAAAGCAACCAGGTGGACCTTGTTTGGATGCTTATTTAAAGCACAGTTTTTAAACAAAGATTCTGCTATATAAATTTGTATCATTACAAAATTAGGAGGCCATCAGGTACATTTGAACACCAAACTGGATGCTGGTGAAATAAATCTGAAAGCAGAAAACACCTGAGTTATGGAGGTAAAGTACATTAAGTGGCTCTCTGACCTGGAGATTACAAGAAGGGTGAGCGTGGGCCATCTAAGGCCACAGGAAGTCAGCTCCAGCTTTCTGAACAGCTTTGTCCTTCACAGACTTGAATGCACTCATTCATCCTCGCTACACCCCAACATCCCGCACATGCACCCCTCTGCCCGGCCCTCCCAGTTTGTGGGTTGTAATGCGCTAACATTAAAATTCTAAATCAAGCTTAATGCCGGCACATTGCAAACCCAAGGATAGGGTCGACCCTGCTCCTGTGGGTTTCCAAGACTGCAACTCTTTAGGGAGTGGAAGCCCCATCTTTCTCCCATGCTCTAACATAGCAGCATATTAAGTGTGCGCTTAATCTAAAAACATCAGGTCCTCCGGGCCCTGCTGATCCCGAGCCGGCTAATGCTCTTGTCAGGTGGACGACTTACCTTCTCAGAAGGGGTGATGAGATACACAGCCTCCAGACTGGGGAGAGGTTCTCTGCGCTTGTTGATATCTTCCACAACTAGACAACACAGTATCAGCCCATGGTGAGTAAGAACAGACAACTGGTGATCGTAAAGCTCGAAACAATCAGACAGGCGGGAGGAAAATCTACGTAGCTCGGGGGTGGGGTCGAGCAGAAGGGCCTTCCTCAAAGTCACCACATTCCTTGAAGGGGAACTCCACTGTCTCACGATACTCAGAACGTTGGAAAATCTGGAAAAGCGTACAGCCCTAAATCCTTGGCACTGGCCACTTAGTTTAATTAAATCCCTGATCTCTGAGTGAAGACGAAAAAACGCTACCCCATTCTGTAAAGAACAATTCTTGTACCTTGTCCTCCAGCGTTTTCTCCCTGCCCCAAATACACCCAGCTCATTTACACTGGCCATGCTGGGCGTTTGCCCGATTCACTCTGGGTAGTGAATGAATCCCTTCCAAACACTCCCTCCATATAGTCCAGTTCCTGGAAAGCGTTGAAGATGAAATATTGTATTTTGTTAGCGCAAGTCGTGGGGCATCTGATGTGTTCCTTTCCCTGCAGGCTGTGTCAGCTGCTTCACCTGGCAAGGTGAGCTTTTGGGTTAATCAGCATCTTAATAAGCACCCGAGCAAGCTCAGGCTGCTTAACCTGCGCTGTGCACTGTCTGCCTGTGCGGAAAGAGCAACGGAGCAATGGGACATGCTCCTGCACACAGGATTCAAGCAAACACACTATGTTAGGAGAATCTATTGCAACACGTATAAGGCTTTTCACTCCAAATAATGTTCAGCACCCTCGCCATCTCCTGTACCAGTGGGAATAACATTTGAATTGTACGACCTTGGAGAAGGGTCTGGGGAGTTAGCATGGAGTGGTGCACTTTTATCTGGCAGCGTGTGCACATCTTAAAAAGCTTTCCTTTAGGGTAGGGATGTGTGTGTATGTGTGTGCATCAGCCAAGTCCTCATGTCCATCGGGAAGTCAGTCTGTCACACACTGATGGATCAGGAGATAGTATAATTCTTTAGGAAATATAAAAAACATCTAACCAGAAGAAAGAGCAAAGCGATCAATCAAATAGTCTCACTCACAGTGACCCGACAGACAGGATTTCTGAGACCGAAACTCTATGGGAGCAGAAAGCCTCGTCTCTCTCGTGAGGAGCAGCAGGTGGTTTTGAACTGCTGGCCTTGCACTTAGCACCCCAACGCATAACCACTACACCAGCAGGGCTCCCGGTGTGCCACAATGGGGAGGACACAACTTTAGAGTACAGGAATGACACACTCGAAAGAGAGCCTATACATACCCATACGACGATAACCCAAGCATCTTCATAGCCGCCCTGCAGCAGGCACTCCACAAGTGCCCTCCCATCTCTGCTCAGTTTCTTTCCTCTCACCCAAGAGACTAGCCATCCTGGCTTCATCGCATTTCTTGCTTCTCTTCATGATTTTACCACCTAAACCTTTCAAACATGTTTAAAATGAAGTCACCCTACAGGGCCGCTATAAGTCGGCACAGACTCGATGGCAGAGTCTGGCTTCATATTTTAAGTGCTCTTCCACCTCTTGCTGCTTTTGCACAACATAATCTACCGGATTCGTTCATACTGTGTGGGGCTGAAGTCTGTTCATTTTCCTTACTGGTCAGTCATCGACTGTGTACCGGTGTACCGTCATTTGTCGAACCATGCTACACTTTTTTTCTTTACCCACTCTACTCCTGATGGACACTCTGCTCGCTTCCAATTTGGGGTTATTACGGAAAAGGCTCTGGGCACACGCCCACAACTGTATCCTGGTGCCGGGGTAGTGGATTATTGAACGTGGACCTTTTTCCTGCAGGCGTCTGGGTAAGAAGAGCGGGGAAGACACAGAAGATTCACCTATGGCTTCCCTGTGACAGCTAACCTGCGGGGTATAACATGAGCCCCCTGAGAAGCAGGAGGGGCGAATCTCCCTACCAAGAAGAGTAGAGCAAGCTGTCGTACCAAGCAGTACGGGTGCATCCTCTGGACCCCGAGATCCCTATGTCGTGAACCTCCTTGATCTATGAGACAGCTGTGATATCAGAGGAGCAGCCGCATCAGGACTGGAAGTCAGAGAAGGAGGCAGAGGGGTGGACTTCCTGGCCCACAGAGCAAATAAAACTGAGCACTTTGGAGGAGGAGGCTGGCTTGTGGAGTGGGTGGCTCTGGGCACTTAATTGGGGACCTGGCTTGCTGACTCATGTAGGTGGAGCTGGGTGCCTTCAGAGTGAGGCTGACTGGAGTGGGGTGTCTGCAGGCACTTAATTCGGGAGCTCGGTCCGTTGAGGCATGGAACTTGAGCTGAATGCCTTGGGGTTGAGGCTTACAGTAGGGGGACAGGCTTTGGAGGACTTATTAGCAGCCTTGAAAGAACGCCGTAACACATCTGATTGAGTATCTGTATCCCAGGCCTTTCTCACCTGCATTGTAACCTGCTAGCTTCCTTCTAAGTCCTATCATCAGAAGCATTGTCTGAGTCCTGTGTGGTCCCTGCAATGACTTACAGAATCTAGATAGAAAAGTAAGAGTTGTTGTGGCAGAACACACCTGGACACACACACCTGAGGTTCCTGAGGATATTTACAACTGTAGCCTGGATGGCCCAATAGGACGGGCATGCCTTCAACCTTTTTAGCTGCGGACAGGTCGCTACGTCAGCCAATTCTCCACCAGCTAGGAATTCTTATCAATCCACATCCTCACTGACACTTGACATTAAGCTTTAAATATTCCAATGTGATGCATGCACTGTGGTACCTCACACTGGTTTGAATCTGTAGCCCCCTGACTACAAAGGAGGGTAGACACTTTTCATGTTTGGATGCCTCCCCTGTTCAGGGGAGCAGTCTCTCCTGGCCTCACGATCAACTCTCCCTTTGTGCACTCCTTTCACAAGCATCTAGCACTATCTGAGCCGGGAGGGATCCAGTGGCAAACGAGCTAGCCTCGGGTCTCTATCAAGGAGCTTACGGTCCTCCGCGCAGGGCACGGCAAGACTCTAAAGCCCAAGCGCTAAGGATGGACAGGAGGCAAGTGCACTGCAGAGCAGAGCCCTGGACCAGGGGCCGGCGCGCGCACCACTCCAGCAGACCCTGTGCTCACTCGTTATCCCCTCCGTCATGATGTCCGTCATCTTGCAGCAGGAGGACAGCATCCTCATGCTGAGCTGATCGACCACCAACACCTGTGGGGGAGAGACCAGATTACAGGTGGCATGACCCCGCCTACAAATTCCCCCACGAGCCCACTACATCAGTCTCCAGACACCCAGGAGGCAGCACTAATGCTCTCTCCCACAGGCAGAAACTTGAAGAAACACACCTTCGCGTTGATCTCCCATATCAAACCTAACCTTCGCAGAATTAGAACTTACCCTCAAGGCTTTAATTATATCAACTTCGATCGGTTTTTCTTTTCTATGATAATCACTCAGAAAAATACAAAAACAAGCAATGTAACACCAACACCCACCCAACGGGCGAAGGATTCAGTGCGATGGAGTGAATCATACTGGGGAGTATTTTTTTCAGGGTGTGTGGGAGTTGGATGATTTTTGTGTCCTGGTCAGGGGTGGACTCATATCTGTCCATCAGGTCGCAGCCCGAGGACACCTCCTTGATGGCACAAGCCCGCTGGTATAAGAGTGTGAGACACTAGGAACCACCCTCTCTCTGCCCTGTCACCTTCCTGCGGGCTGTAACCCTGAGAGTGGCCAGGTTCCCAGCGACCTTAGCTCTGTATGACTGCATCCACTGGCCTGTGATCTTCTTGCGTACTGTGGCCTCGCATGTGGCTGCAACAGGAGTGTGGAGAGAGATGTGTGGACGAGTATTCCACTTGGGGCCTTAGGTTAAACTGGGCTGGGGCCGCCTCCGTGATATATAATTTTGATACAAAGCTCTTTCTTATACACAGATGAGTGTCACTGGATTTCTCTAGACAACTCGGCCTAACACAGGGCATAAACTTTTTAAAGGGGAGAATGATGCTGATTTGAGGCCTCCATGTATGGTAAAGAACGTAAGGACCTGTCCAACCTTCATTAAAGCACATACCTTCACCAGCAAGCACATGCATCCTCTGATGTAGCATATCTCCGCCCAGAAGGAAAACACTGCAGGCCCGGTCTAAACACTCTTAACCTGCCATTTCTTCCGCTTTCCTCTCTCCACTCAGCCCCCAGGGAGAGAGGAAGCTGTCAGTTAAAACTGGATGACCTGTCTTCTCTCGATAGAAGCACAGAAGGAGGTAACAGGCAATTCACACATCAGGGCAGAAAGTGGACCAGAAAGCTTTCCACTTCAGTACCAGAGCCAATTCAATTTCATTTCATGAGACTGTTTTCACAGGTCTACAAAGCCGTCACTGATGAGGAAGAACTGCATGATGCATTCCCACCTGAGGGCCCATCCTCCCCAGTGAGGAGTATTTGTGTTGGTGAAACCTGACACGCCAGGCTTCAGCATCTTACTATCCCAGGGAAATGGGTGGGTCTTGACTGCAGGAGGACTTGAGTGGGGATGGGGAGAATAGTTGGAATAAATCCTTTAACCAGAAAGCTCAAGTACAACTGCACGTCTCCTGGCCTGTATAAAGCTTATCCCTCCAAGACTCCTCATTACCAAGTAGCCCCGAAAGGGCCAAGTTCACAGCTTACCCACCCCTCCCGTCCCCCATGCTAGGAACCAAGGCACGGTCAATCTGGTTGACTTAAAATATTTATTGCATACGCATTCTTTTTTTCCAGCCTGGCTCCCAATGTTATAGAAATAAACACGGTAAGTAAAACATCTGTGTTTTACTTAGTTCCAGGTCAGTGTGGGCCGACCAGACCAGGGCTTTTCAAATTGTTGCGTGAGCCCAATTGTGTTTTAAGGCCACAAAGGAGTCAAAGGGTCTCTCCTCCAACTCCCTGCGCCCCCTTCCCCCAACTGTTGCAAGCAGAGTAGTTTCACCTTCTTTGTTTAACAGGTTCCAGGTGAGTCAAAGAGTCCCACTGCCCAACTAGGTCATCTGTCAGAGGGGCTTTATGACCAAGAGATTTCCTAACCAAGGTCACAGTACAGAGAGGCATGGGTCACCTTTCTCCGTCCAGAAGCTCATTTCTATTCTGGACACAGCAAAAGCCCTCACCCTCTGCCTGCGTGTTCACCCCCACCCCCACCCCCACCGTCTAGCTCACTCTTCAGGTGAGCTCACCTTTAAGACCACCGATTGTAATCTTTCACTCACCTTCCACTCCCCCTTCTTCTTCACCTTCTTTATCACATCATGCATGATCTCTAAAAGCGGAGACGGACAGGAAAGGAGGGAGGGAGGAAGAAAGAAGGGAGGGAGGAGGAAAGGAAAGATGAGAGGGAGTCAAAAAACCGTTTACTGTAGACTCAAGGGTTTCCAACACCTGAGGAATGGTTGCCCCTCTGTCCTCCCAGGTCTCTATGCAATTGAAGCAACGTTTCGGAACCTAGTCCTCCACCCCCAGAAGGCTAGCTCTTCTTGTTTCCTTAATTCAGGGATTCTCAAAACATTTTTTTTTTTATCTCAAGACCCCTTTACGCTCTTAAAAATGGAAGATCTCAAACGTCTTCGTTTATATGGGTAATGCCTGCTGATACGCGGCCACATTAGAAATTACATTGTGAATTTTCATAAAGTCCTTAATCCATTTAAACTAACAATACCTCCATCCTATATTAATATAAGCAATATTGTAATGATGAGTAACTATTTTCCATATACAAGAAAAGTTTGATGGGAATTCTGGCATCGTGTTATAATTTGGCAAGTCTCTAATGTCTGGACTCATAGAGGACAGCTGGATTCTCCTATCTGCCGCACACTCAATCGGTTGTAGTATCACACTTCACACAGCATCTGGAAAACTCCACTGGGCGCCGACAGAACGAGAGAGAACAAGTCTTCTAACGAGGCAGTTACAATACCTGCCCCCCTCTTGGAATCCGCAAAATGGTCTCAACTTTGAAAAGCACTTCCCTAAGTGAGTAAAGGATTGTGACCCCCAGGCCACCCAATCCCTCCTCAAGCTCCACAGAGAGATGTAAGGGGTTATGATTTCTTTCCAAATACCACACCTGTGGATACTCCATTTGAAGATTATGATTTTGGTAAAACCCTATTTCTACAACAGTGCAACTACCTGTGTGTCTACCAGCCTTTCAGGGGCCACAGGGAAGAGCAGTCTTGCCATTCTTTCTGAGCCAAAGTCAGTGCACAGGCCTGTTAGGGACGCCAAGGCCAAGGCTGTTGCTAGCACGCAATTCGTTTTTCTACCATTTAGGGCAATGGCTCCTAACTCTGCTTTGGGCCATCTTCAGTCATCAGAGGTGTTATTCTAAAAAGGTCAGAGTCTTCTCCCTTGATTAGTAGAAAGCCATTTATTGCAGTTAACTTGGAATACAGAAGAGCATAAGTTTACAAGTCACGTACCACTTACGTACTCGAAAAACCACCAGAAACATCCTCCTTCAGCTGCCAATTTAAAATGGATAACTTTTCAATTTACTCCTCATACATAGTCAAGATCATGCGCTCTCTATTGTCCTGCATTATATTTTTTCTCTTAACATACACAGGTCCCCATCTGCACAAAAATGCTTCCTAGGATTTTTAACACCCCGTTCACCATTTAGCTAATAGTTTTCTCAATAGCCATTCGGATTATTTCCCATGTGTTGGTGTGGTGAAAATTAGAGAGACACATCCAACTATCGGACGTTGGTAAGGTAAATTAGGTTTTCCAGGTGAGTACAACACAGGGAGAAAATATTCCCAATAAATGGCTAAGAAGGGAAAGGAGCACACAAAAGCCCCATTTTTAAAGCAGATAAGCAGAGGAAAATTAGAAAGCCTAATGACCAAGATGTTACTTTTGTTTCTCTGCAGACACGGAATGTCATGTAAAAGACAGACAGCAAGCAGAAGCTCATCTCTCGGCGGGACTGGGAACTCGCTCGGGCCGTGCGAGCTCCTTCAGTGGCGCAGACTGCTGTGCACGGGTTGCTGGGAGCCAAGGCAGGCTGGCGGCAGTCTCTGGTCCTCCCAAGTTTTCTGCAGTGAGCACGTACCACTTTGTGTTACGGGCAAATGCTCTAAAAGTAATGTTTGTGCCCTGGGCTTTTCTTTGCACAGATCGCTCTCTTCGGGGAGTTTTCTGGGGATGGATTCAATGGGCGAAAAAGGCAGACATGCTTTAGGGTTCTTGATCCATTCTGCTGAATGATTTTCTGAACAGCTCAGCTCACGTTCACACCAGAACTGTGTATAATGGCCCAACGTAGCCTACTCAGTAGTAAAGTAATACCTCAGGTTTATTTTAATCTTTGTTCCCATGATATCAGAAGATTATAAATTTCACTATCTTTGTTTGAATGTATTATATTATAGAGAACATTTTTCTTCCTTTGATCGCTGAATAAAATTAATTTAAACTCACTTTGGAAAAACTCCCTCAAGTCGCCTTTTGCTGGGAAGAGGCAGATACAATCGGGAGAGCAAACCAAGAAGCACAGGTGTTAAAAGACCAGACTGTCCACAGCAGAAGGACACCCTGCCCGCTGCTGGGCCGTCCTCATGACGGTGAGGTGTGAGCCCATGGTTGCTGCCCCTGTGATTGGGGAGGGCTGGTAGCCCACGCACAGGATTGGACAGCTGGCTAATCATACAAATGGGGTATGAGCTGGGGGTAGAGCTATCTAAGCAAGTTAGGTTTATAGAACCCTAAGGAGAGGACAGGTCAGTTTTGCCCTCCTGCTAGATTTAATGGGATCTAATCCCAGAAGTGGAGTGTGTCCTTTGGGCTCTGTGAGAGGGTCCCTGTGCTGAGACTCTTCTAGAGCCTGCAGACAAACAGACACATGAGATGGTGAGAAGTGGCGGCCGGGGAGTGGCAGCGGAGCCGTGAGATTGGTGTGAGATGAGAAGGCGATGGAGGGTGTACTGACAGATGAAGCCTGACAGCTGAGCGCTTTCTTGATTGAAGAACTGCATCCAGAGTGTTCCTCAGCCTGCTACTTCTCTCCTAAACTCCGTGATTGTGTGATACAATTCCTTTCCTACTTGGATCTCACTAACAGCTTCTACTGCTGCCCCCCCCCCCCACCGCCCCAAAACAGAATTGTTAACCCACCTGTGGACAATACGACGTCCCCTCACAGAAGGGTCACCAGGAAGGGATGAGTCCACCAGGGTGCAGTACAGCACCGATGAAATACACAATATTCCTCTGGTTCTTTGCAGCTTCCTCACCCCCCACTATCATGACCCCAATCCTGCCTTTCAGTTCAGTCTAGTCCGGAGCATGTCCACAGGAACAGACACATGGAATCCAGGTCAGATAAACCCCTCAGGAACAGAAATGGGAGTAGCAGTAATGGGAGGGTAGGGGAAGGCGGAGAGAGGAGGGGAGGAAGGGGGATGTGATCGCAACGATCAACACAGAACCACTCTGCTCCCCCAGGGGGACAAAGGAATATGGGTGGAGAGAGACAGCGGTTGGTGTAAGATGTGAAAATAATAGTAATTTATAATTTATCAGGGGGTCACAAGAGTAGGGTGGGGGGGCTGATACCACGGGCTCAAATTGAAAGCAAATGTTTAGAAAATGATGATGGCAGTGTATCTACAAATATACCTGATACAATTGATGTATGCACTGTTATAAGAACTGTAAGAGCCCCAAGAAAATGATCTTCAAAAAGAAAAAGAAAAAAACAGAACTGTTTTCTGGTTTTTGTTTCTTCATTAATGACAAGCTTTTTTACTTTTGCATAAAAATACACCTATTGTGAGAAAAACCTTGAGTTTGGTGTGGCCGCTGCATGAAGAAGCTAACACGGCAGAGTAGCAGAGAGCACCATAGGAAGGTCAGTTGGTAAAAAGACTGACCGGCACCTCACAGGAATCAGCCTGGGGCCCTTCCCCACTCGAGAGGCTTGGAGACCACTGATGCTACCAGGCTGTTTTTACAAATCCTTAAACATCACTACAAATAAAGTCTATTTAAAAACAAACAAACTGGGGGTTTCACAGGTTTTATTGTACAATGTGCTAAAAACCTCCTGAAACCTAGACTGCATACATGAACGTTGCCTGTCCCCAACCACGGAAAAAGAAATAAATTGGGAATAATTGCTGCGACCGCAATCCCTCCCAGCCATCCCTTTCCAAAACTGTCAGGGCATACATACATTTGTCCTGGGGATTGTGAATAGCCAATTCTAATCCTGCCCTACAGTTTTCTAATCCACTACTGGAAAGGAGACAAGGATTAGAGTCCTTTTAGCATTAAGAATCAAGTAGAGCTTGGGCTATTTCTGCACAAATAATCCCTGGCAATCATATTTTGCTTGTAAATCTTCCCTGGGTGGAGGGAAGCAGTGGGCCTTCTGAGGCTGGTCCTGGCCTGCAGATCTTATCTTGTCAACAGCCAAGATGCTGCCTTACCAACCCACCAAGGTTTCTGGAGACGTGCTGTGAAGACCAGAGGCAGCTACAGTCTCTCGATCATGGCCAAGGACCATACTTCAGGGGACCTGGCTTCCCCCATGGCAAAAGGGCTGTGAAAGTAGGTTTCTCCTCAAACACATCCTCTACATCAGCGTTCTCAACCTGCAGGTTGAGACCCCTTTGGGGGGTCGAACGACCCTTTCACAGGGGTCACCCAATTCATAACAGTAGCAAAATGACAGTGATGAAGTAGCAACGAAAATAGTTTTATGGTCACCACAACATGAGGAACTGTATGAAAGGGTCGCGGCATGAGGAAGGTTGAGAACCACTGCTCTCCATAATTCCACACTCCTGGAAAACTCTGGTATCAACAAATCCTTCTTAAAGTCTTGAGAAATCAGCCAGTGGTCTAAGCTTATCTGGAACATTGTCAGACACACCAACCATGGAGAGTCCCAGAATGCAGGTGGAAGGGCAACCGCAGGGGCCATTTATGGCTCGAAGTCTTTCCAGGCCTGGGGCTCACCCAGAAGCCTGTGCAGTAACATGCTCCGGGGTCCTCCGCGAAGCAGCTGACAGAGGATGCACACGGAAAGCCAAAGAAGCCTGGAGGCACACAGGTTAAGCGCTGGGCTGCCAGCAGACATGCCAGCCACTCTGAGGAAGCAGGAGTGACAAGACAGCCTGGGAGACTCTGTACGGCAGCTCCACTCAGCACAATGGGACTGCAATGAGTTGGAATTACCTTCATGGTAATGGACACTATATGGTTGGGTCTGAATCTTGGCAGAAATGTGAACGCAGGCAAAGTCCT